CGCTCGGCGATGCCGTTCATTGCAGGGGAGTATGGCATGGTGAGGGAGTGCCGAATACCATTCTTCTTCAGCCACAACCCAAACTCCTTGCTCAGGAACTCTCCCCCTCGATCGGTGCGGATTGACTTGACTAGACGGTCTTGTTGCCGCTCCACCATCGGGAACCAATCCGCCTTCAACGTTTCAGCCACGTCGCTCTTCTTGGCCAGCACGTACACCCAAGTCATACGGGTGTAGACGTCCACAATAGTGAGGAAGTACTCAGCTCCAGCAGCTCCAAGCTTCAGGGGGCCCACCACGTCCATCACCACCTCATCAAGTGGTGCCTTAGCCGTTGCCTCCGAACTAGAGAATGGGAAACGGGTGAACTTGGCTTGCATGCACGTCGGGCAGCCAAGTACCTCATCGGGCTCCCCCTTCACACGTATGCCAGCAACCATCTCATTCTTTACTAGCTGCTGCAAGATGGGCAGGGCCACATGCCCCATGCGCCGATGCAAGGTGAGCCAATCACACTCCCCCGTAGCCGAAGTTGGATTGGAGAATGCCGCGCTCGCAATAGCGCCCCACATACTCTCTCCGTAGTCCTCCTCCGCTGCTGCCTCGGGGTTCTCCTCACCCTTTTGCTGCTCCTTGGCTGCTGCACCACTCTCCTTAGGTTCACTGAACTTGCTGGTCCCTCCAGGTTTTCTCTTCTTGAGCTCATTCTCCTTAGCGCGACCGTTCGAAATCCTCTTGAAGGATAGCTCGCTTCATGTCTTCGAGCGAGAGGCGGGGCAAGTCGCGATTCAGGTTGATGATGAGCGAGGACCATGATTCGGGGAGTAGGGCCAGCAACTTGGTCTTCTTTTGGAGCTCGCTATAGTTCAAATCGGCTCCCTCAAGCCGCGTCAACAAGTCAAAGAATTTCTGCACCCCTTCTTCAACCGCTTCATCCTCTTCAATTCGTAACGTCGCCATTTTCCGTTCCAACACCACAGCTACCGCCGCTGTTGCAGGAGCGTGTACACCCTTGAGAGCAGCCCATGCTTTTGGTCCCTTCTCTGGTTCACGCTGGAAAGGCTTGATGTGACGGATTTGGCTGCTCCCCAACGCTTGCCCAAGTAGGAGGTAGCCTTGTGCGCTCTTCCGCACCCACGGGCTCTTCTCTGGGTCGTTCTCGGGACGCTTCTCCGTTCCTTCCATCACCTCGAGCAGGTCATAGTGGTCAAATATGTTCTCCATTCTGAAGGACCACTCAGGAAAGTTGTCACCATTGAACTTGTCAAGGCCAAATACTCTAGGCTCATCCCTAGATGGGCCAACACTTGGTTGCACGGGCGCCATGGTTGAATCACGGGGTTGGCCTTGAGCTTGGGCTTCTCCTCTGCCACCAGCACCTCTGCCACCCCTTTCCTCAGATCCAGCCATTGTCGAAACTGCTCCAAGGGGCTCTGATACCACTTGTTATAGTCACGGTAGGCTCCAATGTGCCTAAAACGAAAGATAGAGTGCACAGTCGGATTTCTGCACAGCGGCTTCAAACGTTCATACCGTTCTAGTCACAGCTTCAAATGACTTGATTCAACTTGGATCTAGAGCGTCTTATTGTCGCCTACACTAGGCAATTTAGATCGAACAATTTGATCAAGTACTGACGACACACGCGGGTTGCTCATTGAAGCCGGGCTACCCGACTATTTCTGGCCTGATGCGGTGCGGAGCGCGTGTGTGGCCAAGAACCGAGCCTTGACTCATGTGGGAGCAGATAAATGGGTGCCCTATGTGGAGTGGCTAGGAAGGAAGCCAAAGGTGGATATGCTTCGGGTGTTCGGGTGCATGTGCATGGCGCTCGTGCCTAAGCATCTTCGGCACAACAAGCTTGGTGCCAAGGCGGTGTGGGCCGTGCACTTGGGCATGGCTCAAAACAGCAAGGGATGGATTCTTTGGGACCCATTCTCCAAAAAGTTCTTGGTGAGCAGGGACTGAAAGTTCATGGAGAACTTCATGTACAAGGATTGGAAGGCGGAGAATGAGGTGAAGATAGGCGTGCGGTTTGGGGAGGTGAAGAGTTCCGGTTTGGAGCATGTGGAGCTGCCTTTGGAGCTGAGCAGCGGCAGCACTACCACAAGGCAATCTTCCCTTGTGAATGGGGGAGAGGAGGCCAATGATGCAGAGGAAGAAGAGGAGGAGGTGCAGCAAGTGAGCGAGCGTGCACCGTCACTCCCTTCCCGCACTACGAGTGCTCCACGGATTCGAGCCACACCGCAGCAACGCCAAGGCCTTCAAGTCCCTGCAGCTGAGGAGGAAGGAAGGGGGAAGAGGAGAGTTCAACCCCCTAATAGGCTGACCTATGATGCACTTGGAAAGCAAGGCAAGACAGCCCTGGCCGGAGCGGCAATGATGGTCGGAGACGACGGAGAGAGTGACTACGAGGAGTGTGCCTTCGCGTTCTTCTCTCCGGTGGAGATGCCGGAAGAACCAGCAACTCTCAAGGAGGCTTTGGAGAGTAGTGATGCTGAGGAGTGGAAGAAGGCCATGGAGAGTGAGCTGAAGAGCATCGAGGAGAATGACACGTTTGAATTGGTGGAGCTATCGGAGGGGCGTACGGCGATAACGTCCAAGTGGCTCTTCAAAATCAAGTCGGATGCCGACGGCAACATCGAGCGCTACAAGTCTAGGCTTGTAGCCAAGGGGTACCAGCAGAAGGAGAAGGTGGACTTCAAGGAGCTGTTTGCCTCTGTAGTGAAGCCGACGACGCTGCGAACCCTATTCGCGGGAGCCGCCATCAAAGGATGGGTAGTAAAACAAATGGACATCGTAACGGCATTCCTTAACGGCATCCTTGAGGAGGAGATTTTTATGGCGCAGCTAGAGGGGTTTGATGATGGTAGTGGCAGAGTGTGAAAGCTGAAGAAGGCCCTCTATGGGCTGAAGCAGGCCCCTAGGCAATGGTACATGAAGCTGCACGAAGTGTTGGAGGAGATCGGCTTCACTCCCTCAACGGCCGATCACTCCTTGTACATGCTTGGCGAGGGGGAGCAGAGGAGCTTCATGGTGGTTTATGTGGATGACATTCTCATATTCTCACCCTCCTCTGACCTTGTGAAGGAGGTGATGCTGAAGCTGCATGACAAGTTCAAGTGCAAGTCCCTTGGTGACGTGAACTTCTACCTTGGGCTCCACATCGAACGAGACGTGGAGAAGCGGAGCATGCGAGTGCACCAACGGAAGTACCTGGAGGCGTTGGCTGCCAACTTCGGCCAGAGTGAAGGTCATGTGACTACTCCCTTTCCTTCTGGGTTCAAGTGTGTGAAGGGGCCAGAGGAGGAGAGCGTTGGAGAAGAGGAGAGGCGCCGATTTCACTCGTTGGTGGGCAGCCTCATGTATGCGGCGGTAAACACCCGACCGGACGTCGCGTTTGCTACCGGGCAGCTGGCTAGGGTTGTGCAATGCCCTAATGAGGAGCAGGTAGCAGCTGGAATGAGGGTGGCCAAGTATCTTGGCCAAACACCGACTGTTGGGCTGCAATACTCGGCGGCGGCACAAAGGCGCCAAAAGGGCGCGGATGGTGTTGAACCCGGGCGTTTCTTCCTCACCGCCTATTCGGATGCTTCATATGCATCAGAACCAGAGGACATGACAAGTGTGGGAGGCTTCATATGCTGTGTTGGTGGAGGCCCAACTGCTTGGGAGAGCAAGAAGCAGGTAAACCAAGCTTTGAGCTCGGTGGAGTCCGAGTACATGGCACTCTTCCGTGCCGTACGGGAGATTGTGTGGCAGCGGCGTTTGTTGGCTGAATTGGGGGAGGAGCAGCAAGGACCTACACCACTGTATTGTGACAGCCAAGGTGCCATTGCTCTTGCTAAGAACCCTGTGTTGCATGGACTCACGAAGCACATGAGGGTGAAGTGGCATTGGACGAGGAGCATGGTAACCGCGGGTGAAGTTGAGTTGCGCTACCTGAAGACCACGGGGCAGCCGGCTGACATGATGACCAAGAGGCTGGTGGAGCAGCAGCATTGGAAGTGTTGCAAGCTGGCTGGGATGGCTCTGAACTGAGAGAGCAACATATCCTAAGGCCAACAATCCGAGGGGGAGTTTGTTGGTGCAACCCTATGGTTTGCACTCGGCTTGTTGTCCGTGTGCGTGCATGTGTGTGTGTATGGAATGGTATGAGGGCATGGGATAATATATATTTCATGCTTATAATTGTGTGTGAATGTTGAGTCATGATGTCGAGTGTGTGTGTCGAGTCAATAGTGAGTTATCGCTAGACGCGTGTTACGCGGTCGTTTGTGTCTAGAGCGCGGTTTCTATTTTGTCGTGCGCGGTTTCTATTATGTCCTGTGTTGAACGTTCAGCGTGTCGCAGGTGTGTGCAGAAGACCCATCAAGAACTCAAGGATGAGTTTGTGATGAAGAGCCTGAGCCTTGGTGTCAAGCCTCAAGTGATTTTGAAGCTTGCCAAAAGGGTACACCTCAAGATATTGAAAATAGTTACATTACTTTGTGTAGTGTAACATTTCACTTGGTGTAGGCCCTAGTGAAGGGTAGTTTCGAGACCCTTCGTGGTTGGGGACAGTGTGGCACTGTTCCACATCACTGTACCTCGGCTCTTGGGGTTTGTAGGAGCTGGGAGTCATTCCCAACTCGTAACTCTCCCTAACTCTTCCTATCTTGTGTTCTAAGACTATAGTGGCTGCCATAGTGCCGTTCGTTCAAACCAACGCTGTGTCGTCAATACTTGATCAAATTGTGCGATCTAAATTGCCTAGTGTAGGCGATAATAAGACGCTTCAGATCCAAGTTGAATCAAGTCATTTGATGTTGTGACCAGAACGCTATGAACGTTTGAAGCCGCTGTGCAGAAATCCGACTATACACTCTATCTTTTGTTTTAGGTACATTGGAGCCTACTGTGACTATAACAAGCGTTTCACTAAGGAAGGGGTGGAGAAGAAACCGCAAAACCCCAAGCACAATATTTATAGGCATTTTTGGACATTCGACGATCCGAAGATGAAGGGGAAGCAATGCGAGTGCCTTTGGTGCGAGAAAAATTCTGCCTTTAGTAGTAGCCGGTGCACCGCGCATCTCGCCAAATGGAACGACACGAACGTGCGCCGCGATGCCGGGATCGTTTGCGCGAAGGTTCCTAAGCGCGTTTCCAACAAAATTCGCAACGAGAAGGAGTCGAAGATTACGGCGCGCAAGGATAAGGAGAGGGCGATGGATGCGGCGCTCAATGCAGTCCAAGGCGGAGCGGGACCGAAGGCAAAGAAGGGGCGGATGGAGGATTGGTACGACGAGGGGGGGATTACGGCGAAGCGTGCGGCGGACGATGCGAATTGCCTCTGGATTGCGGGGACGCGCACGGCGGAGTCTATGTGCGAGCACCCCCTCTTCCTCAACATGCTCCGCGCCGTCAACGCCGCCGGACACGGCTACGTCCCCCCCAGGCGTGGCGTCGTTGGAGGCGCGGGGCCACTGGCGTGCAAGCAGCAGATTGAGAAGGGGTTGGTGCCCATTACGAGGACTTGGAAGGAGATTGGCGTGACGATCGCCAGCGACATGATGAGAGACAAGAGCGGGTGCGTGCAGATGAACATCATCTGCATCAACGCCGAAGGCGCGGTTTTCCAGGAGGCGGTCGACTGCAAGGCGGAGACAAAGACTGGAGCTTTTATCGTGAGCGTCCTGCAGCCGATCATCGAGAAGGTTGGACCAGAGCACGTCGTCGCGATTTGCACGGACGGTGGCAGCAACTACGTGTCCGCCGGCAAGCAGCTGCAGAAGAAGTACCCGCACATCGAGATCGTCCCCTGCGCCTCTCATGTGCTCGACCTGCTGTTGGAGGACTTCGGCAGCATGGATTGGGCGCAGGAGGTCATGCCAGTTGCGACCGGCATGATCTCATTCGTGCGCAGCCACACGTGGACGCGTGCCTTCCTGCGGTGTCCGGAGCTGCACGGCGAGAAGAAGTCGCTGCAGCCGCTGCGACCGGCGGGCACGCGCTTTGGGACGCAGTACATTGCGGTTTCACGTCTGCGTGAGATTCGCCCGCAGCTGACTACGATGGTGACGCATATGGACTGGGAGGAGAAGGGGAGGATGCAGCTGACTGGCAAAACCTTTGAGGTGACAGTATTGGATGTGGAGTGGTGGAAGAAGGTGGATACCTTCGTCAAGGTGATGGAGCTGCCGTACAAGGTGATGAGGAAGACGGATGGGCCGGCGAAGGGGATGATGGGGGCAATGTACGACATGATGTTGCAGCTGACGGTCGACTTGGGGAAGCTGCTGGAGAGTGCGGATTGCCAGCTCAGCAAGGAGGGTAAGGAGGGTTTGCAGGAGCATTTGAGGCGGCGTTGGGACGAGAGTTTGGCCTGCCCTCTTCACGTGGTAGGCCGGATTCTGAACCCGGTCAACCAGGAGGAGGGGATTTACCTCAAAGACAAGGAGTGCACCAGGGTGATGAAGGGCTGGCTGCAACGCTCGAGGGCTTTGGTCGACAAGTACTGGAAGAAGGACGGCGAGACGAACGGAACAATGAAGGCGCTGCAGGAGGGGATGCTGGCGTACATTGAGTGCAAGGGGTCCTTTGGGTCGAAGGAGGCGATAGAGGGGCGTGAGGAGCTGAAGGCAGGGAAGGGGGACATGGTGACGTGGAGGAAGGTCAATGGCTGGGAGTATAGGGAGCTGGCAGGCCTTGCGTGCCGTGCGGTGGCACAGGCCGTTTCCGCTTCTCCGTGCGAGCGAGGATGGGCAGTGTGGGATGGGGTGCACATGGCGCGTAGGAACAGGCTGGGGTCGGAGAAGGTGCGCGACCTGGTGTTCGTGGCGCACAACTGGACGGTTGTGCACGGCCACCACCAGGGTGCAGCTGGTGGTGCAGGACCAAGTGGGGAAGTCAGGAAGGTGGGGGTAGTGGAGGGAAACATCCCCACCCCTCCCCTCCCCAAGGGATACAAGTTGGAGGAGGATGGGGAGAGGGAGGTGGACGAGGACGACCCGTGCGTCGACGAGTACAAGGAGCAGGAAGCGATGGACAAAGAGGAGGAGGAGAGCGCGGAGGAGGATGATGGGGATGCGTGACTGGTTGACTTGATGCAGTGCAGTGCAGTGGTAGTTTAGTATGCATGTTCTTAAGTGGTTGGACTAAATTAAATGTGTGTGTGACCTTGTGTCATGTGCTACATGACTCACCTTAGTCATGAATTTTGGGTGAAAAAAAAGTTGTTGGGAAAAATTTGCCTTGAAAGTGTGGAAGTTCCCCCCGCCCCCCCCTCTTCCCATGCCCTATACAAAGTTTTTTTGCCTGCCCGAAGGTTTTTTTTGCCCTGCTCGGACTTGCGTCTTTTGGTGCGTCTTAGGGGTCCAGGTTCTGCGTCCTACATCTGGACGCATGCGTCCAAGACGCAGGACACGTCTTCCGCAACTAAGGTACACGGCACATCAGATCAACCTCCAGCCCCGGGTCTCCGTGCCGGAGACCACACCTACTCTGCGGTGGACGGGGAAGGTTGGCGATGCGTCTGCGTTCCGTGTCTCAGAATCTCGAGCTTTTGTCCGCGACTTGTCTGCGGACAAGCTGTCCTCCCGTGCTGTTCCCTGCGTCTTCCTTGGCTTCCCCCCTGACGCGCATGGTTGGCAGTTTTACCACCCCACCTCGTGCCGTGTTCTGTCCTCTCAGGACGTCACGTTTGACGAGTCGGTTCCTTACTACCGTCTCTTCCCCTACCGCACTGCCACCCTCCCCCCCCACCCTACGTGGTCGGCGTCCACGTAGCCGACCAGCTCCAGCGACTCTGGTCCACCGCCAAACTCCAGGGCGGTGTCACACGTGTTGGCGAGGTAGGCGAGGCAGCGGTCGACCTCGCGCCAGTGCTGGTCGCTCCTCACCGTGAGGCCGCTCCCCAGCTTGCTGCAGGCGAAGGCGATGTCCGGCCTCGTCGTCGTCGCCGCGAACTGCAACGAGCCGACCTTCTGCCTGTACTCCTCCTCTTGGCGTTCCTGCGCCTCCTCGTCGTCGAAGGTGAGCTCGGCGTAGGCGTCGACCGAGACCGGCGTCTTCAGGTTGCGCCCGGTCTGCTCCTCGTCAATGAAGCGCCTATGTAGCTTGTCAGCGTAGCCTTGCTGGTGCAGCCACAGCTTCCCCGCCGATCTGTCGCGCACAATCTCCAGCCCGAGGTACTTCTGCACCGGCGAGATCTCACGCAGCTCAAAGGCGGCTTCCAGCAGCTCCTTCAGCCCCTCCAGCATCGCGGCGCTGCTGCTGGCGGTGAGCAGGTCGTCGACGTAGACCAGCACCCAGCAGGCCACTCCGTCGTCGCCGACCTTGAAGTACAGAGCCTCATCGGCCTGGCTCTTCTTCAACCCGGCGCCGACCAGCACGTCGTTGAGCGCCAAGTACCACAGCAGCGGCGACTGCTTCAGCCCGTACAGGCTCTTCAGCAGCTTGCACACACGGCTGTTATAGTCACAGTAGGCTCCAATGTGCCTAAAACGAAAGATAGAGTGCACAGTCGGATTTCTGCACAGCGGCTTCAAACGTTCATAGCGTTCCGGTCACAGCTTCAAATGACTTGATTCAACCTGGATCTGGAGCGTCTCTTTCTCCTTTACACTAGGCAATTTAGATCGCACGATTTGTCTAAGTATTTACGACACAGCGTTGGTTTGAACGAAGGGCACTATGGCAACCACTAAAGTCTTAGAACACAAGATAGGAAGAGTTAGGGAGAGTTACGAGTTGGGAATGACTCCCAGCTCCTACAAACCCCAAGAGCTGAGGTACAGTGATGTGGAACAGTGCCACACTGTCCCCAACCATGAAGGGTCTTGAAACTACCCTTCACTAGGGCCTACACCAAGTGAAATGTTACACTAGACAATGTAATGTAACTATCTTCAATATCTTGGGGTGTACCCTTTTTTCGCGGGCTTCGCGATTACTTGAATGTTGACACCAGGGCTCGGGTTCTTCATCACAAACTCATCCTTGAGTTCTTGATGGGTCTGCTGCACACACCTGCGACACGCCGAACGTTCGACAAGAGACAAAATAGAAACCGCGCACGACAAAATAGAAACCACGCGGGACACACAAAACGACCACGTTACACGCGACTAGCGATAATTCGCTATTGACTTGACACACACACTTGACATCATGACCCATCATTCACACACTATTATAAGCATGAAATATATATTTATTTCATGCACTCATTCCATTCCATGCACACACGCATGCACGCACATGGACAACAAGCCGAGTGCAAACCGTAGGGTTGCACCAACAAACTCCCCCTCGGATTGTTGGCCTTAGGATCTTGCTCTCTTAGTTCAGGGCCATCCCAGCCAGCTTGCAACACTTCCAATGCTGCTGCTCCACCAGCCTCTTGGTCATCATGTCAGCCGGCTGCCCCGTGGTCTTCACGTAGCGTAGCTCAACTTCACCCGCGGCCACCATGCTCCTCGTCCAATGCCACTTCACCCTCATGTGCTTCATGAGTCCATGCAACACAGGGTTCTTAGCAAGAGCAATGGCACCCTGGCTGTCACAGTACAGTGGGGTAGGTCCTTGCTGCTCCTCCCCCAATTCAGCCAACAAACGCCGCTGCCACACAATCTCCCGTACCGCACGGAAGAGTGCCATGTACTCGTACTCCACCGAGCTCAAAGCTTGGTCAACCTGCTTCTTGCTCTCCCAAGCAGTTGGGCCTCCACCAACACAGCATATGAAGCCTCCCACACTTGTCATGTCCTCTGGTTCCGATGCATATGAAGCATCCGAGTAGGCGGTGAGGAACAAACGCCCAGGTTCAACACCATCCGCACCCTTTTGGCGCCTTTGTGCCGCCGCCGAGTATTGCAGCCCAACGGTCGGTGTTTGGCCAAGATACTTGGCCACCCTCATTCCAGCTGCTACCTGCTCCTCATTAGGGCATTGCACTACCCTAGCTAGCTGCCCGGTAGCAAACGCGACGTCCGGTCGGGTGTTTACCGCCGCATACATGAGGCTGCCCACCAACGAGTGAAAACGGCGCCTCTCCTCTTCACAAACGCTCTCCTCCTCTGGTCCCTTCACACACTTGAACCCAGAGGGAAAGGGAGTAGCCACATGACCTTCACTCTGGCCAAAGTTGGCAGCCAACGCCTCCAGGTACTTCCGTTGGTGCACTCGCATGCTCCGCTTCTCCACGTCTCGTTCGATGTGGAGCCCAAGGTAGAAGTTCACGTCACCAAGGGACTTGCACTTGAACTTGTCATGCAGCTTCAGCATCACCTCCTTCACAAGGTCAGAGGAGGGTGAGAATATGAGAATTTCATCCACATAAACCACCATGAAGCTCCTCTGCTCCCCCTCGCCAAGCATGAACAAGGAGTGATCGGTCGTTGAGGGAGTGAAGCCGATCTCCTCCAACACTTCGCGCAGCTTCATGTACCATTGCCTAGGGGCCTGCTTCAGCCCATACAGGGCCTTCTTCAGCTTCCACACTCTGCCACTACCATCATCAAACCCCTCTGGCTGTGCCATAAAAATCTCCTCCTCAAGGATGCCGTTAAGGAATGCCGTTACGATGTCCATTTGTTTTACTACCCATCCTTTGATGGCGGCTCCCGCGAATAGGGTTCGCAGCGTCATCGGCTTCACCACAGGGGCAAACAGCTCCTTGAAGTCCACCTTCTCCTTCTGCTGGTACACCTTGGCTACAAGCCTAGACTTGTAGCGCTCGATGTTGCCGTCGGCATCCGACTTGATTTTGAAGAGCCACTTGGACGTTATCGCCGTACGCCCCTCCGGCAGCTCCACCAATTCAAACATGTCGTTCTCGTCGATGCTCTTCAGCTCACTCTCCATGGCCTTCTTCCACTCCTCAGCATCACTACTCTCCAAAGCCTCCTTGAGAGTTGCTGGTTCTCCCGGCATCTCCACCGGAGAGAAGAACGCGAAGACACACTCCTCGTAGTCACTCTCCTCGTCGTCTCTGACCATCATTGCTGCTCCGGCCAGGGCTGTCTTGCCCTGCTTTCCCGGCGCATCATAGGTCAGCCTATTAGGGGGTTGAACTCTCCTCTTCCCCCTTCCTTCCTCCTCAGCTGCAGGGACTTGAAGGCCTTGGCGTTGCTGCGGTGTGGCTCGAATCCGTGGAGCACTTGTAGTGCGGGAAGGGAGTGACGGTGCACGCTCGCTCACTTGCTGCACCTCCTCCTCTTCTTCCTCTGCATCATTGGCCTCCTGTCCCCCATTCATAAGGGAGGATTGCCTCGTGGTTGTGCTGCCGCTGCTCAGCTCCAAAGGCAGCTCCACATGCTCCAAACCGGAACTCTTCACCTCCCCAAATCGCACGCCTATCTTCGCCTCATTCTCCGCCTTCCAATCTTTGTACATGAAGTTCTCCATGAACTTGCAGTCCCTGCTCACCAAGAACTTTTTGGTGAATGGGTCCCAAAGAAGCCATCGCTTGCTGTTTTGAGCCATGCCCAAGTGCACGGCCCACACCGCCTTGGCACCAAGCTTGTTGTGCCGAAGATGCTTAGGCACGAGCGCCATGCACATGCACCCGAACACCCGAAGCATATCCACGTTTGGCTTCCTTCCTAGCCACTCCACATAGGGCACCCATTTGTCTGCTCCCACATGAGTCAAGGCTCGGTTCTTGGCCACACACGCGCTCCGCACCGCATCAGGCCAGAAATAGTCGGGTAGCCCGGCTTCAATGAGCAACCCGCGTGCCGCTTCCGTGATTGTGCGGTTCGCTCGCTCGGCGATGCCGTTCATTGCAGGGGAGTATGGCATGGTGAGGGAGTGCCGAATACCATTCTTCTTCAGCCACAACCCAAACTCCTTGCTCAGGAACTCTCCCCCTCGATCGGTGCGGATTGACTTGACTAGACGGTCTTGTTGCCGCTCCACCATCGGGAACCAATCCGCCTTCAACGTTTCAGCCACGTCGCTCTTCTTGGCCAGCACGTACACCCAAGTCATACGGGTGTAGACGTCCACAATAGTGAGGAAGTACTCAGCTCCAGCAGCTCCAAGCTTCAGGGGGCCCACCACGTCCATCACCACCTCATCAAGTGGTGCCTTAGCCGTTGCCTCCGAACTAGAGAATGGGAAACGGGTGAACTTGGCTTGCATGCACGTCGGGCAGCCAAGTACCTCATCGGGCTCCCCCTTCACACGTATGCCAGCAACCATCTCATTCTTTACTAGCTGCTGCAAGATGGGCAGGGCCACATGCCCCATGCGCCGATGCAAGGTGAGCCAATCACACTCCTCCGTAGCCGAAGTTGGATTGGAGAATGCCGCGCTCGCAATAGCGCCCCACATACTCTCTCCGTAGTCTTCCTCCGCTGCTGCCTCTGGGTTCTTCTCACCCTTTTGCTGCTTCTTGGCTGCTGCACCTCTCTCCATAGGTTCACCAAGCTTGCT